GTAACAAACGCTGCAGCCGTTTAGATATAAATTTGTTTTACTGAACATGTATTCCTGATATCTGAAAAAACATTTTTTTCTTTGTATAAATGACCATTTCAAACTAAATTCTCCACATCTAGAATAAACATTCTGGATGTCTAGAAATTAATTTCAGATCTCCACATTCCTCTTATCAGTGGTCAGCATTTACATTTATCTATGTATAAAACTTTATTCTTTCTATTATAATTTAGTTTTTTTTTTTTTACTTTCTAAAATTCAATTTCTACAACAAAAATGTAATTCAGAAAATATATTGTTACAGTTAGGTTTAGTGATTTAGATCAGGAATAATCTTATTTTATTGATCTACAAATGGAGCACCAGAGTGGAGTGCTTTTAATAAATGTAAAAACGGCCTGCCATAGCCCACTTCATATAAACTTACGCATTAACTGGAGCAACAATCTTCTCCTTCGCCACCTTCCACTCCTTTGTAGCAGTAGCTGCTGTTTCTCTGTCTTTTAAACACATCCTCCCCTTTTTTGTTTTTATTTTTTTTGCATTTCTGCATTAAAATCTCTAGTTCCAGTGGGCTGAAATATTCACTTTCTGAAGCCATGGTGACTTCACTGATTATGGCTTTTTAAACTTGTTGCCCACGCACTTAACTCTGAGTGGACCTAGTTCAAATTTATTGAACTAATTGGTATCAGCCGTTGTGAAACTGAACACAGAGTTCCCGAGCTTGGGCTAAACCAATTTAGAGTTGTGGTTTGAGTCTGAATCTGCTAAACCTTCTTCCTGAAACGTACCCCTGGGCACAGCGAGCATTGAAACCACTGGCAACGTCCGAACCAAACCTTTATCTAAGAAAAGATCCGCTCAGCCGAAACAAATTTTATCAATTCACACAACCCTTTTGTGATTGCATACTTTTCAGAAAATTTGTTGATTATGATTAGGGTCAAATCTATCATCAAACCATTAATAATTTAATATAGAAGCTGGAATCTGTTTTGAAGTGAATCTAATGAGTTCAGACACTTTTTATATCTCCATTTGCACTCAGACATGTACTTTCTGTACCTTTAACTAGTATAAATAACTTGATATTTAATTATAATATTAATAACTTGTTACAAACAGTAGGTTACTGTGTGCAGTAGACTGATGTAATGAATAAAGTACCCCATGCCACACGCTGTCGCCTCCTCATCGAAATTGGATGCAGGCCTCTTCTTTGTCAGCTTGTCCACAATCGGAGTTTCATCTTTGGACAAAAACAGGAATCAGGTATTTAGTCTGAATCAGTATGCATTTCCATCAGATGTCACGGCTGCTTTAGTCGACTTCACACACATGAAAACCTGTAAAACTTTGAATATATTGTTAAGACAACCTCCCTTTAACCAGAGTTCTCACAGTGCAATTATAACATCATTTTAGGAGAAGGTGGAAGATAAGACTGGACACTTTGATGTAAACAAGCCAGAGAAACGGTTACGGAGGTCAGCGGCGAGGCTTTTACCTGGAAATAAGATGAGAGAAGAATGAAGAAGAGCCCTGAACAATGAGGACAATGTTTTTCATACACACTAGACATCGCCTGCCAGGGATATGCCTTCTGTATCATCAGTAGGAAGAAATGTGTTGCATCTTGGGTGCTATCAGTTGGATCATCCAAAGCAGGTGTCCAAAACTTTTCTAAATATGGTGCAGAATCTCAACAACCAGAATAACGACTG